GAGGCGGCTGAGGGGGTGTGTGTCTGTGCAGATGTATCTGTGTGAGTGTGTGTGCACGTGTATGTATGTAGATAGACGCGCGTGTATGTGTATCCGTACACACAGAGGCGTGTTTGTGTGTGTACGGGATAGCCCCCGCGGGAGCTAACCCCGGACCCCTGGTTTCCTGCCCTGCCAGAGCTGGAGGGGACGGACAGGACGGCGCAGAGAAGGGCCGAGGGCAGGCGGAGACATGGCGACGGGTGCAGATGTACGGGACATCCTGGAGCTGGGAGGTGTAGAGTCGGAGAACACGGGCACCATCAACAAAAAGGATATCATCAACTCGGATAAGGTGAACTGTGATGCCCTGAGGGGCTGCTGCTTGTTTTCTAGGCACTGACTGACCTTGCATGTGGTGTTTGGACTGAATATTGGGGGGGGAAAAAAGATGGAATTAAGTGTGTTCCTACCATAGTTCATTTATATTTGTGCTTCCTAGGAGTATCAGGAGATGCCTGCAGGGCTCCACTCCTATATTTCTGTGTTCTCAGTTAAATGTGCTGTGGCATTTGGTGTGGGATTTAGGCAGGAGCTGTGTAAGTGGTGTCCTGGTGAGCTGGGCCTGGCCCCAGGGCATTTTCAGCTGTCTCTAAAATTCCCATTTTGTGAAGTGTGTTTACCATCTAGCCCCCAAGCAGGTGGAAATCATGTAATACAGCCTTGTTTTAAAAGGAAGAAAACAGTGTCTGATTTGATGGAATGGTAAATGTCTTCAGACCCTGGGAGCAGTCCCCGTCTGGGGAAGGTTTGTGCCTGGGGCTTGAGAAAACTGGGATTCATTGCCTGTGGGAATGTGGGCAAGTTAATAAGCTCTGTTAAGGATGTATGGTGTCATGTTCCGTGTGGTAATGTGCTACAGTATGGTGTTGGATTCTGTGTTTTAAATTTGGGCAAGCTCTCCTGTGTCCCGTGTTTTGCCAAGCGTAGGGAAGGTCAATTCATTAGTAGTTAGGAGATGTGGAGGTGCTTGGAAATGATCTCAAGGAGATGAAATCTGCAGGAGCTCTGTGGTACAGAGGTGGTCTGATTTGAAGTAAAACCTATGTATTTGCTTGGGGGAAAAATCAATCCAAAATTAAACATACACAGCCGTCTCATCCCTGCAAGCACTTCCTGGCAGTCATTGGTTGCCTCCACTGAAACATTTGTCTCTGAAGCACTGTGGTTTCCTGACTGCCTTGCTGAGGATAGGGCACACAGTGTAATCTATATAATGGAAAACCAGTGGGTTCCAGTCATTTAAAGGCTGAAATGTGGAATCACTAGTTATCAGCTGTACCAGTGAACAGTCTGGTGAGCAGCTCCTGGGCTGGATTCAGCCTGGGATGTTGCCACGGAGTGCTCTGAATTGTAACTGCTTTGATTTAAATGTGTTTGTCTGTTAGCTAGTAGAGAGCTGAAGAAGTAGAGGTGGCTGTATGCCTCTGTTTTTGGAGCAGAAAGTAAGGTGGTGTTCTCAAATTTACTGCAGTGGAAAAAGAGAGGAAAGGGAGGTGCAGTTTTGGGAGGGGTGTGGGAGGTCGCTGTGGCTGTGAGTGAAACATTCTAAATTTCTGCAAAGTGCAGGAACTAAACCAACCCAAAGGTATAAGCTGTTTACCATATGGAGAGCACAAAATTGCTGGTAACAGTGTAGCACTCGTTAGGGAACTAGATCTGTTCTCTGTTAGAAAAGAAACTGATGTCTTGAAATCACAAGAGAACCGTGAAGTACGTCCCAGTCTATTAGTGACTGAAAATGTTAAAGAAAGAATTACTAGGCATAAAAACATTTAAATCAGCAGGACCAAGTAATTTGCTCTCAACTCCTAAAAGAGCTGGCTGAGCTGATCTCTGGCCTGCTGATAGTAACTTTTAATAAATCTGGGAACTCTGGGGAAATTCCAGAAGCCTGTGATCAAACAGGGTATGTGTGACCCATGGGTAACTGCCTCACTTGGCCTTAGCTCCTAAGCAAAGTGTTGGATGTGCTAGGAGAAAGGTGTTTGATGGGGTGAACAGGTGCTGATATAATGCATGTCTGTCATGAAGTTTTATGGAAAGTAGTTGTAGCCCAAGCTGACAGGTCATTATTTTTTCACTGGGATCTTGAATTTGCTTGATAAAGGTGACTGTATGGATTTAACACAACTAACACTAACACAGTGTTAGTTTTGCTGCTGCAAAATACTCTGATTTAGAAGTTGGTAGTGATGTGATAAACAAGTAGTTAATAGTAGCGACATGGCTAGTAGTTACAAAGATGTTAGTAGTTAGACCAAATGCTCAGTAAACTGGGCCCACTTAAATAAAATGTAACTTTTTAGTGTGGCTGTCACTGTATCTACCTGAATCCAAAGCTTATTACCTTATAAGCCTGTATGTGTGGTGTGGGTAGGAGTGTGTCTTAGGAAACTTAAGTTCTGACAAAGTTTTGGAGCTCAGATTGAGTTGTGTACACTGAATTCCTAGTAGGAAGAAACTATGCTCAAAAAATTGTTTGCTGTATAAGTGGGAGAGCAGAGGTGGGACCAGAGAGCTTTTGTAACTGATACAGGTTGCTGCAGCACAAAGTGACAAAACCCGAGAGATGATGGGAAGACATTTTTTATTATCTTCTCTAAAAGGTAGAGAATCACTTAATTAAATGCATTAATACCTCCTCATGAAGACAGTGCTTACCTAGTAAGAAAAGACTTAGTGCACCAGCCCCTGAAAACTACAGCCAGATGTGCAGCTTTGAATTTAAGTGTGTTATCAGCAACAGCAAGTGTCTGCATACTGGTGAGTGCTATCATGAAAACTGGGCACATTTTGTTGTCAGTGTCTTCCACCAGGGCCAGGCACTTTCCTGGAGAAATTCAAGGTGTCTAAAACCAGATAAAAGTAAAAACCATCACAGGGCACCACGTTATGGAGTTTCATGTTCCCTCAGGAATTGCTGCTTCTGAATCTAAAATGCAATTCTTTTGTTTCAGAAAAAATCCAAGAAATCTTCAGAGACATTGACGTTTAAGAGGCCAGAAGGAATGCACCGAGAAGTTTATGCACTTCTCTATTCTGATAAAAAGTAAGAGCATATGGTCATCTCTGCAGGCTGTGGTGTGACCTGGGCTTTTGGTGGCAGGGCACCATCCTCTTGCAACCAGGGGCAGTCTCACATCCCAGATTGATTCCCCTTTGTGCTTGGCCCATGCTTGTGGTAGTCATAGACAGTGTCTGTCTTCTCTTCTAAATTTGAGGGATTTGCTTGATATAGGAAATGAATTTAGACATAGGTACAGAAGCAGACAAGCCAGTGTTCTTACCCTCTGTATCTAATTCTCTCTTAATCTCAACTGGGAATAGCACTTGCTTTTATTTTTGTAAAAAGAGTTCTGCAGCCTGTATTTAGCCTGATACAGATTGTGCCCTTGCCTCAGAGGTCTTTTGCATAGTTTGCTTTTCAGATGGTCCAGTTCAAACCCATCCGTGCTGTGTATTATTCCTCTGATGGGGGGAAGTATTGCAGTCTGGGAAGTGCAAAGCCTGGAATAAAGCTTAGACTTGGGTTTTCCTACCCTAAACATTGTGGTGTCAGATCCCACTCTGTGGGTTTGTCTTGGGCTGCTCCTTGCTTCTCATCAGCCAGCATTTTTCTCTGCCACAGGGATGCACCTCCACTGCTGCCAAGTGATACAACTCAGGGTTATCGAACGGTCAAAGCAAAACTGGGGTCCAAGAAAGTTCGGCCTTGGAAGTGGATGCCTTTCACCAACCCAGCAAGAAAAGATGGAGCAATGTTCTACCACTGGAGGAGAGCAGCAGAGGAAGGAAAGGACTACCCTTTTGCCAGGTTCAATAAAGTAAGTGGAAACACTTTCGAACAAAAGCATGTAAATAGCAGCTGGAAAATACCCTTCAGTCAACTTCTTGACTGCCCAGACAGGAAGTTGGTTCTTTCAACAAGTGAAGGCCGAGTTAGATTTGGTAATTGCATTTTAAATTGCACCATGGCCTGCAGCCATATGACCACAGACTATGATGTCTCCAAATCATTCAATCGAAGTTGTCTTGGTCTGTGGTCAGAGCTTGCTAGAGCCCTCTGTGTTCCAGGTGTGCAGTCATTGGTTTGGTGAGGAGGCACTCTGCCATCTAATTCAGTTCCTGACCAACATCCTCCCCCTGATTACAGGCTCTGGGTAGTAAAAGATACTCTATTCCGAGTGAGTCATTAAAGTCACAAGTCTTGTTATTTTGACCAGTATGAAAAAAATTGCTTGAGCTCTATGGCCAGAAAGCTGGTCTGCAACCTCTTGGCCAGATTCCAGTACGGATGCTGAATTACATTGCATTCCCTCTGAAATTGCTCTTGTGGTATCAGTGTGGTGCAGTACCCTGTTCTTTGCATCTTATGTTAAATTGTCACAATGTGTTGTTGTAATCTCCTGCTGTCTTTTGTCCCAGATGTATCTGCTTTGAGTGGTTGGGCCTTTCATGTGTATGCACAAAGAAAACTACATCAAGATATATACTTCAAAGTCAGGACCTCCAAAGTTAGGAAGGAGTAGAGTTAGGGTGCCTCCATAATGTAATTTAACTCCCTTCATGATGCAAATCTGAAAGGGTAAAAAAAAAGCGCGTGCTAACATGATTCCACAAAAGCTCTGCTTGTGTGTAACCGTATACAATATTTTAAGTTTGTAACCCACAGAGCATCAGCTCTAACAAAGCTTGGCTTCCTGCAGAGTTAAGTGGTTGGTTGACCTTATATATTAGAAGGCTCAAGCTCTGACTGATGCTTTTCCTCTTGCTGGGACATTGGTAAGAGCCTCCTGTGGTATCTCTTCTCTGATGTCTGGGGTGGAAGTCTGAAGCACAACTCGGTTAGTTGAGGCACCTACCTAGCTGTCTGAGCGAAACTTTGTGAGGATAATTGTCTCTAAGACTCTACTGCTGTAACTGGTTTTGGCTGAGTTGAACTGGGTTTATCAAAGGGGGCACACATGGGTGTTGTAATTATAAGATTCTCATTTCCTTAACTTTATCAGGTCCTGTGAATTGGCAGACAGAAGAGCCTTCAGCAAGGCTGTAACCTTTAGATTAGTGACACAGACCTCTGCCTTCTGCACATGCACAATTGCTTAATATTAGAAGGCTGTTACCCTCGTGGTTCTGTGGTTGTGAAGGTAGAAGGCACTGATGAAGTTTTGCAGATATTTGCTATGTCAGAGGAAATTTATTTACTTTTCCAGACTCCTTTGTGGGTTTCTTCTCACATAATTAATACCTCTTCCTGAGTCTCTCACTCCTCTTGGCATGAGCCTGTTTTTCTGTGTAGTCTGTCCTGTTGGTCACTCAAGCTCTGTAACCCAGCTCCTGTGTCACTGCTCAGTTGCTTTCCCTCTTCTCTGTGCTTTCAGTCTCCAAACCAAATCCATCCTCTTCATTGTGTGATCCAAAATGTAAACTTGGGTTTCACTATGTACACTGAACCTTGTTTTAGGGTGTGAAATAGGAGTGTTAAAAGCAGCTTTCCTGATTTTAGAGCAAAGCCCTCTCTCAGCTGATATTCTCTTTCTGGCTACCATCAGGAAAGGCTTAGAGCATGAGAATGGGGCAAATATATTTTTCCTAGCTTCTGGTGGTCTTTGGCTTAAGGATTTCTTAACTTGGAATTTGTGTTTAATATTTCTTGCTAGGTATGTTCAGGGCAGAAAGCTGCTTTGTGAATATCCCATGGTAATGAGTTCTTCAGGTTAATTTTGTGTGGTGTGCAAAGGTACTTTCTTCTGCTCATTTCAAACTGCTTCTTTGAGGTTTCAGTTAGTGCCTCTGAGATCTCGTGTTACATGACGTAGTAAATTGTCCTTGCTGTGTACTGTGTTTTCCGTAATTTGACATGCTCTCCTGTGCCCTGTCTCACCCTTGTTGTTCTCAAATGTCCTTTCTCTTGTAATGAGTGGACTAGCAGTGAGTGTTTCACTTATGAGAGCATTGTGGATTGGTACGTGGGCTGTGTTTCTCTGTATTTCCCTCATCATTTTTACTGTTCAGTTTGTCTTTTCACCACTACTAGATGTGTTTTTACAGAACTGTCTCATGGCTCCAGGATCCTGAGCAGTTTCAGCCAATTTAATGCTCATCGTGTGAGTTTATAGTATAAAATGTTGGACTGAGTGAGGTTTTCTGGGCCACTGAATCCTCCTCTTGGCTCTCTCAGGTCCTGCTACCATTCAGTCTCTTTCATAAACTGGTCAAGTTCCTTTTGAATAGCACTTGGCTTTTCCTGCCCCTGTGCTTCCTTGGGAAGCTGTTCTAGACTGTCTCTGCTCCATTTCATTTCCAGGTTAAATTTTCCATGTTAAATTGGCATTTCTTTGTAAGTCAGTTTCTTTGTTCTTATTTCAGTTCCTGTGGGTATTCCTTTCATTTCTCCTAAAATACTTGAAGCCTGCATCAGATTCCCTTTCAGACTTCCTTTGCTAGGCTGCTTTCTCTTCCAGTCTGCTGTGGGAAGACAAGCTCTCCGCCCCATTACTCATCCTCATTGCTCTTCTCTGTACATTTCAGTTCATCTTTCCTGGCCAGGGGTCAGTGGTGTTGTAGTTGGTATTCCTGCCAGTGTTCTTGTTGTGCAAGGTATGGAGCAATCATCACCAGTTCCTGCTGGAAATTCCTTTCTGGAGGTCATATTTGCCTTTTCATGCTTACGTTGCATTTGAACATCTAGTCATCCCATGGTTGGCTCAAGCTCTCCATCTACTCCGAGGTGGGAACCACTTCTCAGTGACTCTTACCTGAGCAGCCATGAGTGGGGGCTGAGGAAGTGTTTTGTAAGTGTCTTTGCTCTTGTCACATCCTCTTGTCTGAGGAGGCATCTGACACTTTCCACTGCAGAGGGTCCGACTGGCTCTTCTCACGTGTATGTGTATTACTCTAGAAATTATTTTGTTTCATGATGTGCATGGGACATCCTTACAGTGTCTAGTAGGATGGCTTTGCTCTTGGTGGAAGTGGTACTTGAAGGATGAGGTGCAGTGCATCCCCAAGACATGTACTTCACCTTTAAACTTCTGTGTCTAAGTGATGGAGGAAGGGCAGTAGACCTGAAGAGACTGGTATTTGGAGGCTCAGAAATGCTCCTCTGGGCTGTGTAGAGTTCATGAGGGTGACTTTCCTGATGTAGGCCCTGGAGCCGTAGAGGTGTTGAAGCACATGTTCTGCTTGCATGCACACCATGTTTTCTTCTGCAGGCAAGATCTCCTCAGGCTGAGCAAAGTTTCACCACAGGAGTGGTGGGAGGAGGTAAGGGAGGAAAGCACAGGCTTGTTTACACTTTTTGCTTTACCACATGCTAGGACTTTCCCTAATACAGTAATTTTCACTATTCCTTTGGTACTCATGTGATACTTGTGTTCTAGATAGAGCCTTTCCAGAGAAGTTCCTGGCTGGGGACAGTGGTGTGGGCCTGGCCTTTTAGGCATCTGGAGCATTGTGAGGGTTGGACTGTTGTTTGCCCTGTGGCTCTGCTGGAGAAAAGGTGGATGGGGAAGGGAGGGACAAAGTTGTTTGCCAATGTTGGCCCTCAATTTTACAGTACCCAGCCTTTCGGATCTTCGTGGTACTGTCTGCACCAAACATGAAAGAGGTAGGTTGAGTATCAAAGCAGAAGGTGTGCTAAAGGCTGGAGACTACTGCTCCTTGCCTTTCCTGTTCTTCCCGTACAAGTGAGTGTGTCCCAACCCAAGTAAAGAGTCAATCGTCAAAGCAGTTTATGCCAAGGTATTGGTGCGGCTATATGGGAGGAATACAGGGCGGCTGACTGAACCTTGGTTTCCCTGTCATGTTAGCATGGTAATTTTGAAACTTGTAGTCAGAATGTGTGTTGCTGATCTCTGCCTGTGTCAGCCACCTGAGATAGGTTTCAGCCTCTCAGGTGGTAGTTTCTGGTAGACTCCCCAGAATGTAGTGTTTACAGTGCTGGGATCACACACTACTCCATGTCAAGTCCTCTGCCTGCTTGTTGTGTTTTTTATCAGCACGCATTGCTCAGGGTCCTGGCAGCCCCCTCCTGTCAGTGCTGCGCTCATGTTCTTGGCTCAGGTATCTTGGCCCTTACAAGCTGGCAGTGAGGAGGAGAGCTACTGTGGTTTTCTTTTCTCTACATAGACAGTGCAGGTACCTGTCTACTCAGAGCAGGAGTACCAGATGTATCTCCACGATGATGCATGGACCAAAGCCGAAACAGACCACCTCTTTGACCTGGCTCGGCGTTTTGATCTGCGCTTTGTGGTGATTCACGACCGCTATGATCACCAGCAGTTCAAGGTGAGTCCTGGGGGCCACGGTGCTGCTAGCAACCTGCTGCTATGGCATGTGCAGGGCTTTGTGCACTTAAAAGACCAAATTACCCTTTATATCAACTTAATTAGGGGAAAATAATGAATTATTGGCAGCAAGGAATATTGAATTTCCAGCACAGGGCATTGCTGCTTGCTTTGTTTGTAATTAAATCCACTGTGACTTGTACTCATTCCCTGTTGTGTTTTATTAGAAAGTTAGAAGGTTTGCACCTGCCATGAGAACAGCTTGTTGCTCCTTGAAGATATTCAGATAGCTGGGCAGTTTGTTTAACTGAGTAGGCTAGGTGTTAGGGATTCAAGTCTAGACCCTTGGAGAAGGATCTGCTAATGGGCACTGGGGATTGAGACTTTTCCCTGGTGCTGCTCCTGACTATGTGGTCTGATCTAGTGTGGGTTTCTGTCATCTCTGCTGTGAAACAGGGACCATCAGTGGTCTGAAAATTCAACTCTAGTATCATGATTGTAAATGTCCTGTAACTACTGGTTCAATGCCTCCTGATGACATAAGGTATGATGTGACTTCCACAGAACAGCTCCAAATGTTGGAGCTTTTTGTTGCCCTCTGAAATGCTCACATGAAGAGCCTGTAGTAAAGTGAAATAACAAGAGTCTGCCCAGCTGAGCAGCCCAAACACCTTTGCTGCCTGGAGTAATGGCACACTGCTCAGGTTCCATGTACTGATGGGCAATGAATTGTTACAGGTGGTACCTTCTTGGTTGTGGCTTGAATACGCATTGTCTGGAGTAGCTGAGACCTCCTGCATGTTTGTCACAGTTTCCTGTTTGCAGGTTTTCTCCTCTCAACTCTCCTTGCATCCTTTTTTTTGGGGGTGCTTCACTGCTGTATTGTCTCCAAACCCTCAGCTGCATTGCTGGACCCTTTGGTGGTTGTTTTTGAAGCAGTAGCTGTGAACCCATGACAGTTAATTCATGCAGCAAACAGGGGAACTCCTCCTTCCCTGTCATTCCACTGACACTGGCAAGGCTCCCTGCTGGCCTTTTTCCCAGGCACTGTGTCTTGTACTATATCTGACATCCTTCAGCCAGTGGTCCTTAGTTTTGCATGGTTCTTCCATAATGTTGTCCTGCTGTGATGTCTTCCACAGAAAAGATCGGTGGAGGACCTGAAGGAACGATATTATCACATTTGTGCCAAGCTGGCTAATATTCGTGCAGCTCCGGGCACAGACCTGAAAATCCCAGTCTTTGATGCCGGCCATGAGAGACGAAGGAAGGAACAGCTGGAAAGGCTTTACAATAGGACACCAGAGCAGGTAACTTGGGGATGACAGCATCACTGCTCCAAAAGATTTGTAAGTTGGATCAGTAGGTGCATGAAATAGGCCAGAGGGTGGGAAAGGGAAAGAAAGGCTGGACAGCAAAAGAGCAACGCCCAAGTACTGCTTTTGTTGTTGGGTTGGTGTCATCTTAAGGGGTGTAAAAGGGCAGAAACTGAGAAATCTGACTATACAGGAGAAAGGGCTGAGTGAGCAGAGTTATAGTCTCTGGTAACTGCCAGGACCTTCTCAATGACACTTGCTGTACTAGTCTTCTGTATAGAAACAAATTCTTAGACCAATGTCCTTATGAATCCTGGAGTCTCATGGAGAGAGAATTACTTTCTTGAGAGTAAGTGTCTTGCCAGAAAACATCAAAGACTGTAAATCTGCATGTTTAGTTCTCTTTGTCGAAGCTATGTAATGGTCCCAGGGTTTAGAGGTTAAGAAACTCTGTGTTCCCCAAAGTCTGGGGGAGAGCATCCTTTTCAGTTAGTAGTTCCCTGTAAAGACAAGTTCATATGTGTAATTACTCTGCTTGTCCTTGCCCCTTGACAGGTGTCAGTACTAGGCATAGCTGCTCTAGGTTCTGCATGCTATGTCTGGGGAGGGCAGCCAGCTTTTCACAACACTGCATTTGCAGCTACAGCGTATTTGAGCCTTTTTACCCTTCTGTCTGTGCTCTTGGTCTCTTTGCCTGGAGATGGGATCAGTCATTTATGGATGCTGCTGAAGGGTGCATCATGGATGTTGTGATACAGTACCTGCCAGTTCATGGAATGGCATTGCCATGGGTGCAGGGTAAGGCTACAGAGTGTAATGTACTTTGCAAATCCAAGATGTTAGGCCAGAGCATAAAGTCATCCCTGGCTGGCCCAGGGCTGAGCTATTATCGGTAGATGGCCCCCTTGCCTTGCCAGGCCGCCGCTGCTCTCTGATTGCCCTGACGTGCTCTGGTCTGCAGGTGGCAGAAGAAGAATACCTCATCCAGGAGCTTCGTAAAATTGAAACCAGGAAGAAAGAGAGAGAAAAGAGAACCCAAGACCTGCAGAAGCTCATCACAGCCGCTGACACCACCACTGAGCAGAGACGTGCTGAGCGCAAGGCTCCCAAGAAGAAGCTGCCACAGAAGAAGGAGACAGAGAAGCCTGTAAACATTGCTCTCTTTTTAATTTTTATCTTTAATTTTTAATCTCTTCATTTTCCCCTTGTGTGTGCTCTGGCTGGGTAGTGTGTTTTCTTCAGCCATCCTATGGGGATCAGGCCCTTTTTGGGCAGGGGGAGTAACTGCTGGCTGCCTTCTGGCAGTGCGCTTTTGGTTACATCTTTGGAAGGCAGAGTGGTCTAAGGCAGCCATTGTTAGGGTCCTCTGGTGTGCTCTCTGTCTCTCCCATTTGAAAAACTCTGATTCAAGTCCTGTTTCTCTTTCCATCCTTGAGAAATGGGATGAAATGATGCCAGCTATTCATGCATCAGGGTGAGGAGAAGCATCTGCCTCCCTGCTTCTCCCAAGTGTATTCTGTTACTGCTGTGTACGGTTGTCCCACAAACCGGCCTTTCACCTGCCTTCTTTTTCTAGTACAGGTTTTCCTTCCCTTCATAACTTCTTGGTCTCAGCAGCATGTCCCCAAGCTCAGTACATGCCCCTCTCCTGATCCTCAGCTGTGGGAGGATGGTCAGCCCTAGTGTGGGACTCGTGTATTCTGGGAGCTATTGCTATTTCTCCCTGAGCTGAGCTGAACTCTGAGGAGCCCAGAACACAGGTTTCAGTTCACATTTGATGTTACCTCAGTTTCCCTTTCTGGAAAGAGGACAACATAGTCTGGTCTAAATTCAGCACCTTCAGTAGGAAAGGGCTGTTAAAAAAAATAGCTTAGATCTGTTTCCAGTGAGTCACTGGGAATTCTTGTCCCTCCACATTGTGAACAGAGAGCACTTGTGTCATTTTTCTCCGAAAGGTTCTGTGCAGGGAGGGGAGAGAAATAATGAATGCTAGACAGCTGTTGCTTGAAGTGTGCCTAATGGCCACCACTTCCTCAAAACACCCTTTTGGTGTGTCATGTCCCAGGTGTCCCCCCACTATGTGATGAATATAATACCACTGGGTATCTTGTGCATTGAATTCCCTTGAGGGTTGATCTGGGAAAGCTCAGCCATGGCATATCTCCCTCTAAAGAAAGCAATTCACCACTGGTGGTAATGAGAAAAGAGGGACAGAGAATGGGGCTGGAGAGATGCTGAGGATGCTAAGGTGAGGAGTCCACCCCTAAATGTTGGCTGGTGCCTGTCTACAGCCATGTAGTGAATAGGCACGCCAGGGTGGGCAGAGAAGCAGTTTCTGTTGTTGCACTAGCATCATTTCAACCATGACAGAGTCCATTAGGAGTCAATTACCAACTATAGCTGGGAAATGTTAAGAAAAAAATTGCATTTTAACTAAGAATTTGAATCGGGAGCTGCATCAGCATCATTTCAACAAAGGAAAATCATTTACCAAAGAGTCAATTGAGGTTGAAGCGTTTACAGCATGTACAGGCACACGAGGCAGAAGAACCCATTTAATTGCTTATGCGCCGAGTGCAGTCAGAGTTGGCTCAGCTGAGGCAGCGATGCTGATTTACCCACACTGCTTGTGTTGAGGTGTTCAGCAACAGGCTGAGGGGCAGAGTTTGGGGAGTCTGAAAGCCACCCTTCATCCAAAGAGAGCAGAGAGGATTGGTTTTTGATTGCAGCCTTGTTTGTATGTAATAATGCAAGCAGGGAGGCTCTATCCTACCAAAGATCAAAGTGATCTCTACAAGTTCATGAGCCCTATTGGTAGTTAGAGAATACTCTTGGTCATGTGTAGAAATGTCTTTCTGTGGTCTCTTTTTATTGGACTGGCAACAGTTGGCTGAAAAATTCCTCATGCCTGGCCACGCAGAGTGGTTTGCAGGGTGCCATCTCAAGACCAAGACATAGAGATAGCTATAGAGATGAGAGTCACTGGCAGGGAACTTGAGAAATTGTCTCTGCCATTCAGGATCTCTTATGATCTTGGAGCAGCCCTGGTTGTCTCAGCCCTGTCTGTGATGAACAAAGAGCAAACTGCAGAGCCTCTCTGCAGAGAAATGTGGGAACAGCAAGGCAAATGCTGTCTCCAAAGAAATTGGGAGATTTGAGGTGACTCTTCATTTTGGAAAAACATGATTGCGCATGTGGTTTTCAGAGGTTGTGGCTATTTTTAGTTTGAATCATGAGTATTGCTGACCCATTCAGAGGACTCCACACCATTCAGTACACAGGGCCCTGCAGATAGCCTGGTTTAATCGTTTAGAAGTTTGCTCACCTCACCTTGTGCTTTGCTCAGCAGCATGGATTGCATTTATTTTTTCCATCTTGTTGAATGTGACTCAATGCTCTCCTGTTAGCAGCAGCAGCAGCAGCAGCATTAGAAATTTGCTGCCTTGTATTGCTATGTTTCAAATATGAAGTGAGTAAGAAAGAAAACTGTCTAATGAGTGGACAAATGGCAAAGCATGTATGAACAGCAGGCTTCCCTGGAGGGGGGCAGTCCTTGCATCCTCATTAGTGGGCTTGTGTCTGTACAGATCAGAGGTTTCTCAGCTCACTCCTTAGAGGGTTTGCAGTCAAAAGCCAAGATTTAGGGAAGTCCTGAGCTGTTTTGATTAGTGAAATGAGTCTAAGTTAGTTAAGGATGATACTGTGCAAATATGCATGAATACCATTTAGGGTCAGGATTTCTGTGTGGATGAGTGTAAGTCTCTGTGCAGAGCAATGCATTTAAACCAACTGACCAAAAATGCTTGAGCTTTCCAAAGATACCTTGAACTGGAGTATTTTTCTCAGTGAATTGCTTGGGATTTTCCCACTGAATCTATTGCTTGGAATTTTCCTCTTGCCTCAGCTCTGACATGTGGCCATGGCAGGTGGTTGTCTGTCATAGGAAACAGTGTTTCCCCTTCAGATTGTCTCTGTTTGAGATCTTGTGTTTCTAGTGTTTCCTCCATCAACACATCCTGTTTCAATCTCTTTCAGGCTGTTCCTGAGACTGCTGGCATCAAGTTTCCTGACTTCAAATCTGCAGGTGTCACGCTGCGAAGCCAGAGGGTAGGCTGTTGTCCTGGTCCTGTGGGATCTCTGTTAATGTCTTTCAGTCTGCTTGTCTCCTCATCTGTTCTCCTTTTATAGCTAAAGAAAGTTAAGCTCTTACCTCTAAAATAAGAAAGGAATTCCATCAATGTGGAGACTCAGAAACCTGGAATGCTCTCTCTGTGAAAGCCAGCTCATTGCCTTGCAGGGACACCTGGACTTGCTGGTGTTTGTTACTGGTGTGGCTGCTCTGCTGTTAGACACGTGAGACAGACCCAAATGGAGCTCTCAAGTCCAAACAGAGCTCACAGCCAAAATTAATAGGCCTCATAAGAGCACATGTGTTATTACCTCAGAGGTGCTTTTAGTGTGGTTTGGGTTGGAAGGGACCTTAGAGATCATCTAGTTAAGATCATCCTTAAGAACTGTTCAGGTTGTGTCTTGAGAAAAACAGAGACACACAAACACATACATTTTTTAGCCTTTCTATTTCCATTATCTTAGAAATTATATTTTGGGAAAGTCCCTTTGTTCATTCTCTGTCAGAGATATTCCTGAGAAAAGAGCTTCCTTGCTGTTTTATCAGCAAGATTTGACACCTGTCTCTTAGCGACAGGCTTTGGGATATCAAGTAAGTTAAACCTGCTTGGCTAACTGAATGTTTTCAGAGGGGTTTTGGTAGCAAAATTCTGTGTGCCCAGTACAAGTGGTTTTGTTTGGGGTTTTTTTTCCCTGGAAAAAAAAAAGATTTTTAGTTGCTTTATTATAGCAAAGTTGGAGAAGTAGGTTCCTTGCCTGGCACCCTCACTTGGCATAGTAATTTACAAGACTATTTCTAGAGAATGTCCTTTTGATGTCAGAATAGTTTCAGATCTTGCTGGGGCTGTTAATAGAAATGTGTTTGGGATCATGCTGCTTCGATGTGTGAGTGCACATGCATGTTAGAGGCAAGATAACTCAGCAAAGTCACTGTTGGGGGACCCCTTGAGTGTACAAGTGCCACCATCTGCAGGCTACCTGTTTGAGTTAGGGACTACAGCCTTGAGGAAATCACAGGCAAGTAACAAGCAAGACTGCAGTGCGTGTGTTGAGATTTATGGAGACATGGCAGATGTGTTCTCTATCACTAAGATAAATAGAGTAATTTATGGAGATTGATTTGGATTTTGAAAACTAATAAGTGATGGTTGATCTTTTCTATTTTTTTTACCCCCTCTGGAAGAGAAGCTGAGCAATAACCTATCAGTGATGGAACCATCTGGCAAAGCCAGCAGCCTTTTCATGTACCAAACAAGGCAATTCAAATCCCAACCTTCATGAAAATGAGTGCTGCATGCTTGTCTCTCTTCCTTTTAAGGCTCACAAAATGCAGTGATAAGCTGAGGCATGGCAGTCTGATTCAGCAACTTTTAGCCTCAGTATCCAAGCTCGAGGAATGACCTATAGCAACTTTCTATGCTCTGCTTGAAATTTTTAAGGAGGTAAATGCTGTTATTGGAAGTACTGGTGGTTTGTGAATTAAAAAAGATTGCAAATCACTGATCTAGGTGGAAAAACAACACTTTGTTGTTTGGAAATGTGAAACCTACCTCTAACCCAGCAAAATGAATTAATTTGTGGCTTTTAGCCAGTCACCTGGCTTCCTTATTCAAGTCTTCCCAGTTTTTAAAATGGGAGCTGTTAGACTCACCTGCTTCACAGATGCATGATGGGGAGAGTTAATTACATGAGGTCAGTATGGGCCTTTTGAACTGGTAAGAGCTGCTGAAGTGCTAAGTGGTGTAGAGTTGACCATCCATGCTAATCCAAATTATTTTACTTGTGGGATTTATGTGGCTAACCCTCTGCATTACAGTGGTGTGAAATTGATCAGGTTGGGAGCTGACTAGGACTAAGTGAAGAATTGGGATGAAGTGCCGGAAACCTGTACTCTGGCAACATCCAATGTAAGATGTTTTGCCCTTAGGACATTGGAAAACGATTTCTAAAAGCCTGTGACATCTTGCAGTAAGTTCTTTTGCCTGAGGACCTAAAGAGTTCCTCACCTAAAGGCTGCTATTGTCCTCCTTTATTTTGTACTTTGCTGCTGTGCTTTACGCCTTCCTAGTTAGGCGAAGTTGGATTTCGCAGTGAGATCAGGGCTCAACCTCTGTCATCTGTGAAAAATGTACCATATCATCCCCAGGATAATAGCACTTACTCTTTGATTAGAGATTTTTTTTTTCTGAGGATTTACAATTAGTCTGAAATCTTGAGTTCAAATTAATTTATAGAAATGAGTCCTTGAAGAAAAAGTTAGGAATCTGTATTCAACTTAATTTGTTCCCAGTAGTTTTTATAACAATAGCCCTGGCTTTTCAAATTCCCCCTGTTGTTACAGCCTACAAAATCTTGTGGACAGGCTGAATTTGAAGACTATTTTTTTACCCCTAGGATTGATGGTGACTTACAGCCGTTATTCTTCATAACCAAAAGTTTCTCCTTCAGCAGACGCTGAAGAGTAATCTTCTGCAGTGAGTTCCACAAGCTGCCTTCTATCAGAGTGGCTTCAGTCTCCCATTGTTCTCCATGGGACTGTGGTCACAGGCAAAGAAGGCCACAGCCCCCGTGCCCTTGCTCTGCATGGGATTTTCCCTCTGCCTCCTGACAGCACAGACTGCAAGTTTCTCTAAGGCAGTGGGAAGCTGGGCATTATGAAAAGCTTCCTCTTAATTCAAGGCAGTGTATTGCCTTGGTGCCACTGAGAACAGGAGGCAGTAGCAGATGTTTTGGAAAGGGATAAGCCTTTCAAGAGTTTCTTGAAAGAAAAATTTTAGACCTTTGCCGTTGCTGTTAGTAAAAGAGTGTTATGAAAATAACACCAGAAATGTATTATTAATCCTAGGCATTACTTCTAGAAAACTTCCTGTTATACCAGGTCTGCTGAGCTGGGAGGGCAGGCAGCCAAAGAGCCAGAGGAAATGAGAGATGGGTAGGGAATTTGAAAGGGGAAAGGTGAGGAAGAGACTAAAGAGAAAGCAGGGAGCTGTGAGGAAGGAAAGCTTTGCTGAGGATCTGCCTGAAGGAAAGGAAACTGGGAGCTGTTGAAACTTTTCCAGGACCCAGACAAACCAACAGTAACCACATGTTTGTGATCTGGGCATCATGTTGCTTCTGTAAGGCAGAGCTGAGTTTGGTTTGATTTCACCACAGTGTTTCTGTACCATGTCATGTTCAGCTTTCTGAGTGTAGCCTTTGACTTTATTGTGTTCGGAGTGCTTGAGATTGGCATACTTAATATCTCTGCAGTGTGTTTTAAACTGTTCTTCTCTCTCAACCTTATCTGTCAATTTTAACTTACAGTTTTGGTAATGCTGTTGAATTGTTGCAGCAGTGCTTTTAAGAGGGAAGGTGATGGCTGGAAAAGGGTGGATGTTTGTCCCTGCTCCTGCATATTGAGGTATACATCTGTGTCCTTGCACTATTGTCATGGTTTTGTAAACAAAGGAACTGGAAAAGAATTGATTGAGTGATGTCTCATCTGGAAACAACACAAAACTCTGGGACAAAAAGGAGTTTGTAGAGATCTCAGTGTGTAGAAAGGACTGAGGGATGCTCCAGCATAGTCATTCAAAGCTGGCCTCCTCCCCTCAGAAAAGGCTTCCAGCTAGCAGCCTGACTCCATCTGCTCACTGGGATCTTGTAGACAATTTGCCAGTTGAACAAATTAAGAAAGAAGTGGAGGAAGGAAAATTACAAGCAGAGCTTTAGTACCCATTGATTCAAATATTCACCAGCTTTTAAATATTTAGTAGCCTGCTGAGCACTTTTTTTAGCACTGATTAATGAATGAGAATTTACTGTGGTTGTGGCGGGAAAAGCATGTGTGTGTGTTTTCCCTTTTTTTTAATCTAGGAGTGGGAGCTAAGTGCTTAGTGCAACTCCAAGGTGAATGATATTTCTGGAGGAAGGTGGAGTTGCATGTATGTGTTTAGACATGTTTATTCTCCATATTTGATCTGCCCCACCATTAAATGGCCAAGCACGCTGCCTGTTTACTCTGCATCGGAGGCTCTTGGCTCTGTTCCTCCCCTGTCATTAATGCAAACCCAGACCTCATCGGCTGTGAACATGTGAAACATCTGTCTGTCCTCCTGTGATCAATACTGCTCCTTCAGAGGTTCAGCTTTGGAAGCAGTTCCATAAAATATCAGTTATTTTTATTTGGATTTGATAAATTTAATTACTTGGAGCAATTAATTATTTATTTGTTTTGTATTGATTGCACTCCTAGGCATCCTGACATCAATCCGATGGAGATCAGCACACCCTTATTAGGCAGGAAAGTTTATGTTTCCAGGTCTGAACATCCCATGGATTAGTTAGTTGAGATGTGCTTGTTGCTTCTGCTAGCAATTTTTCATTAGCGAAGTTGTACATTTTGCACTCTACAAGAGAGTGAGTGAGAGTAATTTCCATGGGGAGCCTGGCAGAGGTGTGGAAGGGAGGGTAGTAGTCTCATTTCTGTGAATAAAAGTTATGAACAAATGATGCAGGCTGGATCGAATTTATGTTGTGGCATTGCCATCTATTTGTTGTATTACATGCCCTTTAATTAGGGCCAAGAGAGTGCTGGTGCATTTCCTAATCAAACTCCTGCCTGTAGAGAATGAAATAAGATGAAAATATCGGTGTATTTATTTTTGAAGAGAACAGCAAAGGATACAAAATCTTGAATGAACTGGAGAAGGTGAATCCAGCACTTCTCTTCCTCCATTCTTGTTCTTAGCTAAACAAAAAGGCACTTAATGTTAAATTGCTGAAAGAAAATGCATCTATCACCTTTTTTGTGGAGGTCATTGGTGTGGGAGAGCTCCTGGACCAAAGCCTTAGTCGGCTCTCGGGTATAGAGAGCACTCTGGGTACAGGAATAGGGTTTTTAAAATAAGCTGTAGTTCTGGAAAGAACATTTGTGTTGCTGCTTCTGTTGAATCATCCAGTACCAAACAGTGTCTGTGCAGTACGAGACCTCAGGGACC